TGAAAACCCATGCTTAGCCATCACTAAATCCTTAATTAATCACACATAGACATGCAACCAACATAGAGAATCTAGTGTAGAGATCAATTCCCAAATAATCACACATAAGACAACATGTAATTACAAAGAGAATCAATAGGAAGAATTAAACCATATGAATCATATGAAACATAATTCCCAATTTAATCACACATAGACATGTAAATAAACTAGAGAATTAATAGGAAGAATTAAACCATAAAAATCATAGAGATATACCAAGATTCATGAAATTCACAAGGCTAGAACACTAATCACAACAATATATATAGATCCCCGAAAACAGAAATACAAGGGTTTAGATTACACAAGACTTAGGGCTTATCCAAGCCCTAAGTGTAAATCTAGCCAATCATGGAAGAGGTAGATATGGCCATGGAACCCTCAAGGGCAAGCTCCAAACATGGCTCCATCTTCTTCTTATTCTTCTTTGAAGCTCTAGAGAGAGAAAGAGAGAATGGATCTAGAGATGGATCTTGAGATGTGCCTCCACTTCCCTCTTTTCTTCTAACCCTAATCTCTAACTTTTCTAGAAAGAGAAATTAAAATTACAATGTAAAAGTAAAATAATAAAAATCTCTTTTACAAAATGGGTCACTTTCCTTTATATAAAAGGTCATTTTCTTAGCCATTAAGTCAGAAATATAGCCCCAAAAATATCTAACCCCTTACTATGTGGTAGGTGGGAGTTCGGGCGCGTGCGGGAATAAGACAGCTCGCTACCAGCACATTTTCGATCGATCTCAGAAAGGTTCAATCGATCAAAGAAAAGTTCGATCGATCAGAGTTCAATCGTTCTCACTTTTTTCGATCGTTCTCACGATCGTTCTCACTTGGCAGCTTTTCAACATCAGCCTCTTTTTGCTCCAAATCAGTCTCCTTTTGCTCCAAATCATCACTAAGACTTAGTTTGACTCCAAAAAGGCCTTAAGAAACCATTTTTAGCCCGTTTTAACATTATTGACTTAAAATAGACAGAAACACAAATAAGTACTAAAACGGGTAAATAAAGATAGATGAATGGATTAAAATACCCTCGCTTAGGGGTTTTAAATGCGCATTTTTCAGCGCTCATCAATCATGATCCTTGTTACCACCAATCTCAAATCCATATAGTAACGAATTTGAAATTCCACACATTTCATATTATTGTAGCTACAAAAATTACATTAGTAGTGATGAACATTACCCGCCAAATAAACCTATGAATTTTCGCACTAAAGAGGATTTGGATCAATTAACAGAGGCTTTGGCTTGTGATTCCAAGGTTATCATATCACCAACTTTTTGGCATTAGGACATTAAATGGGTACAAGTAAAAATAAAAAATAAAAAAAAATACTACTAATATCGCAATTCACATGCTTTTGTATAGAATTAATTTTGAAAGATGATATCGGTGCTCCACTCATATTTTTAATAATTAAAATGACAAAAATAACATTAAACTACATCTTTATCTCCCCCATCTACGACTCTCTCTCATTCGTTTTCTCTCTGTATTTTCTGTGAGATATATATTTTGTAATTGGCTAATTTCGTTATCAAAATAAGTCCAATCGAGTTGTAATTTTTCGGTTCAATTTTTCGAAGATTGAAGATCGGATGTGGATTTGAAGAAATTCAAGTGTTCATAATATAGTACACTCTGAAATGATGAGAACAATGCTCTAAGAAGTTTTGAGAGGTAATGAAACATTTAGGAAGGGTTTTGGAAGGGTCGAGAGGAGATTATACATTCTGGCCATCTTAAACTGGTTCAACAGGATTGAACTGGTTCAACTTCAGTATAAAAGAAAAAAAATTACAAATTGTCCATCTGGAACCAGTTCAAGAACCATAGTTGGCCACGGCAAAACTCTCTGGCCTTCTTGAACTGGTTCAGCCCCTTTGAACCGGTTTAAGGTCTCCTGGTAACATTCCAACTTTTAGTTTCCTTTTTGCTGAATGTTTTCCTTTTGATCCCAACTTATTTCCAAGTCCTAAGCATGAAATTTTTAATATTTTCAGAGAGATTAGGACTTTATAATCTCTATATAAACCTTGCCATACACATTGGTTTATTTATAGCTTTAGGAAAAATTAATTCTATATTTTAATAAAGCCTTTTAGAGAAAGAAAATTCAGAAAATCAAATCTGATTATTTTGAATTTATTTATGAGAGCACATACATATATTCATAAGTGATTTAGTAGTGTTATTCTCTATCTCATCGGAATCGGAGCTATATTGAAGATTCAGATATATTCCTTATGAAGAGCAGGATTTAATTCTTCTACATCGAGTTCAGATCTTGAAGAACAGAAGTAAAAGCGATCACACTTTGAAAGGATTGGAGTATTCGAGGAGTGTTATCTGATCTACCTGCTACTCTTCTACAAATATCAAGTATAAACCTGAGGTCAAATTGCTGTTGGACGATGAGTCGCAAAGCCAGAGGATTGTCAGCAATTGGTATTTGGTAGAACGATAGGGTGTGAGCCAAAGTCAAAGTTTAGTGTACTTTGTTTCAAACATAATGGATCGGTTTACTTTGAACTAAATAGTCCATGAGGTTTTTCCCATGCAAACAGCTGACGTATTTTATAAACTGGGGTTTCCTCGCTAAAAATCTTGGTGCAATCTCTCTAAACTTTTACTTGCTTTACTTTACAGTATTTATATTTGTGATTGTGGATGTTTAAGTTAGTCATATAATTTAACCAATCATAAATGGAGCAAGCTGACCTAATAATCAGATCTATGTTATTAAAGGAGTTAATCACAATTAAAATTAACTACCTATCTTCGCACCCCGCGTAACTCTATTTTTCACAATTTCTCCACAAGGGTGTTTTGTAACTAATGAAAAAGGAGCTAATCTATTGAGTATTAGTCAAATTTGTGATGAGGAGTTTCAAGTCAATTTTACTCAACAAGGGTGTTTTGTAACTAATGAAAAAGGTGAATGTATCTTGAAAGGAACTAGAACTTCTGATAATTGTTATGTTCTGTTTTCAGATCCTTCACTAATATGTTTTTCTGCAGTTACTGATGAGGCAATTTTATGGCATAAAAGACTTGGACATGTGAATTTTAATAATTTAGTGAATTTATCTAATAATAATCTTGTTCGAGGTTTGCCTAAATTGAAGATGCCTAAGAATGAAATATGTGGTCCATATCAATTAGGAAAACAAACTAGAGTGTCATATAAGAGACATATACATAAAGTCACTTCTCGACCTTTAGAATTGATTCATATGGATTTGATCGGTCGCATAACACCTAATAGTACCAGAGGAAAAAGATATATGCTTGTTATGGTTGATTTTTCTAGATTTACTTTTGTTGCATATTTGAGAGAAAAATCTGATACTTTTTGTGAATTTCAGGTCTATTTGTTAACTTATTCAAAATAAAAAGAGATATCGAATTAATCAGATTAGAAGCGATAATGGAGGTGAATTCGAACCTAAGGAGTTTATTAAATATTGTGATAAAATTGGCATTAAGCATGAATTTTTAGCACCTAAAACACCACAACAAAATGGTGTAGTGGAAAGGGAAAATAGGACAATTGCAGATATGGCACGTACTATGCTTCATGAGAATAAAATTGTGTGTCACTTTTGGGCTGAATTAGTACATACTGCTTGCCACATCATAAATAGAGTTTATCTTAGGCTTGAAACTAAAAAGACTTCATGTAAATTGTGGTATGATAGAAAGCCCACTGTTAAATACTTTAGAGTCTTTGGAAGTAAATGTTATATCCTTAGATATAGGGAACACTTGGAAAAATTTGACTCTAGAAGTGATGATGGTATGTTTTTGGGTTATTCACAGACAAGTCGGGCTTATAAGGTTTTTAATCTTAGAACCAAAGTCGTCATGGAGTCTATAAATGTTGTATTTGATGATACAAAATCTAAGATAACCTCTTCTCAACTTGATGAAGAAGAAATTAATTTTGAAATTGTAAGAGAAATGATAGAATCTACAATTCAAGAAGAAATTAATTTTGAAATTGTAGGAGAAAGGATAGAACCTACAATTCATGAGGAAGAAAGAGTTAAGAATTTAGGTTGAGAATGTGAAGAGGTTGAAGAAGATGAGGATGAGGAATTAGTTGCCACCACTGATAAACATATAAGAATTCCCGCACCATCCCTAGATATTCCCACATATAGTAATTCTAAAGTTAAATCGAGTCATCCAGTTGACAATGTGATAAGTCCATGGGATCAGCATGGTATTAGGAGTACAGTCCGTAATAATGTAGGACACTCATGCATTGTAGATGACATAGGACACTCATGTCACATGGCTCAATTTGAACCTAAGAATATTAGTGAAGCTCTTTAAAGTTCTGATTGGCTTATGGCTATGCAAGAAGAATTGCTTCAATTTGTGAAGAATGATGTTTGGAAATTAGTGCCTCGACCTAGTAATGTTAATATCATAGGGACCAAATGGATTTTTAAAAATAAACTTAATGAATATGGTCTTGTGATGAGAAATAAAGCTAGATTGGTTGCACAAGGATACACTCAAGTTAAAGGAATTGATTTTGATGAGACTTTTGTACCTATTGCTAGACTTGAGTCTATTCGACTTCTTTTTGCTCTTGCATGTCACTTAAATTCAAATTGTTTCAAATGGATGTGAAAAGTGCTTTTCTAAATGGTATTTTGCAAGAAGAAGTTTATGTAGCACAACCAAAAGGTTTCATTGATCCACATAATCCTGATTTTATGTTTCATCTTAAAAAGGTTATTATGGTTTAAAGTAAGCACCTAAAGCATGGTATGAGAAGTTAATTTCTTATCTAATGCACAAGGGCTTCAAAAGAAGAGGAGCAGATAAAACATTGTTTATTTTTAAGAAAGGAAAAAAATTTCTTGTTGCTCAAATATATGTGGATGATATTATTTTTGGTGCTACGTGTGATAACCTTGTTCATAATTTTTCTAAAGATATGAGTAATACTTTTGAAATGAGTATGGTTGGTGAACTGACTTTCTTTCTAAGTCTCCAAGTGAAACAACTTGATGATGGGATTTTCATATCTCAATCAAAATATGTAAAGGAGCTAGTTAAGAAATTTAGTATGAAAGATTCAAAGCATGTACAAACTCCTATGAGTACTTCATCTAAATTGGATAGAGACTCTGATCCTAACAAGATTGATCATTTCTTGTATAGGAGTATGATTGGTAGTTTGTTGTATTTGGCAGCAACTAGGCCAGATATTTCATTTAGTGTTGGTATTTGTGCTAGGTATCAAGCTGATCCTAGAAAACAACACATTTTTGCAGTCAATCGCATTATTCGTTATGTCAATAGTATATTGAATTATGGATTGCATTATTCTTCTGAGTCTAACTCAGAGATTACAGGCTATACTGATACTGATTGGGCTAGTAACAAGGATGATAGAAAGAGTACTTCAGGTGATTGTTTCTATGTTGGTACTGACGAGGCCGTTTGTTATACACCAAAATAATGTAATGAATGTGCGGTTCAAGAAAAGCCTTTTAGGTCAAGTTTAAATTTATAAAAACCACTACCACCACTACTACTAACGTAGTAAGAGTGAGTAGGGATCGTCCCAAGGGATTATACGTGTTGAAATTTAACTTCAACTCTAATGTACCAAATGATTGCAAAGAGAAAGATTGGTTGACTAAACTAGAAAACAATTAATTAAAATGAAAGTGAAATAAAACTAATTAGAGATAGAGATTTAAGAGATAAGAAGAAAGGACTTAGGGTGTTGGAATCACCACTAAGCTCGTGTAATTAACCACTTGCTTTCCATTAATGGGGAATACATTGTTGAGAACAAAATGTGACTACCAATTGCAATATTAAGCATGGACCATCTAATTTATGTATGAATTGTCTACCTAAACTAAGTGTAGCACAACCCATCAATTTTAAGCATGATCCATCTAAGTAGTAACAATTGTAGCACACATCAATCTAGAGAATCATGGAATTTGCAATAATAAGCCATGGAATATCTAAGCAAGCGTAGATTGTCTACCTACCTACAAGCATGAATTAAATTGTAGAACAACCTGTCAAGCATAAGTATAAACCATAAAATTAATTGACAAACCTATTCAATGAAATCCCATGCTTAGCCATCACTAGATTTTCAATCAACCACACATAGACATGCAAGTAATATAGAAAAACTAGTGCAGAGATCAATTCTCAAATAATCACACATAAGACAACATGTGATTAAAATAAAGAATCAATAGAAATAATTAATCCATATGAATCATGTAAGAAATAATTCCCAATTTAATCACACATAGACATGTAAATAAACTAGAGAATTAATAGGAAGAATTAAACCATAGAAATCATAGAAATATACCAAGATTCATTAAATTCACAAGGCTAGAGCACTAATCACAACAATATATATAAATCCCCAAAAATAGAAATACAAGGGTATAAATTACACAAGACTTAGGGTTCATCCAAGCCCTAAGTGTAGATCTAGCCAATCATGGAGGAGGTAGATGTGGTCATGAAGTCAAGTTCCAAATATGGCTCCATCTTCTTCTTCCTCTTCTTCTTTAAAACTCTAGAGATGGAGAGAGAAAGTGGTCTAGAGATGGGGTCTTAAGATGTGCCTCCACTTCCATTTTTTCTTCTAACCCTAATCTCTAACTTTTCTAGAAAGAGAAATTAAAATTACAATGTAAAAGTAAAATAATAAAAAGCTCTTTTACAAAATGGGTTACTTCCCTTTATATAGAAGGTCCTTTTCTTAGCCACTAAGTCAGAAATATAGCCCCAAAAATATCTAATCCCGTACTATGTGGTAGGTGGGAGTTCGGGCGCGCATGAGAATAAGACAGCTCGCTGCCAGCAAAGGTTCGATCGATCAGAGAAAAAGTTCGATCGATTAGAGAAAAGTTCGATCGATCCAACTTTGATTTTCGATCAATCCAACTTTGATCGATCTCAGAAAAAGCGATCGATCTCAGAAAAAGTTGGATCGATCCAACTTGGCAGATTTTCAGCATCAGCCTCTTTTTGCTCCAAATCAGCCTCTTTTTGCTCCGGATCATCACTAAGACTTAGTTTGACTCCAAAAAGGCCTTAAGAAACCATTTTTAGCCCATTTTAACATTATTGACCTGAAATAGACAATAACACAAATAAGTACTAAAACGGGTAAATAAAGATAGATGAATGGACTAAAATACCCTCGCTTAGGGGGTTTAAATGCGCACTTTTCAGTACTCATCACACCCCCAAACTTAAATATTGCTAGTCCCAAGCAATGAACTACAAAGTAGAGAAATGAAATGAACAACTAAACAACGACAAACTAGAAAACAATAAAAGGATAACGCCACTTTCGTAGGGAACACGATTGCACTTAGCACATACAATAAGCCTTTTAAACCCCTGGGTTACCCCTAGTGGACGAGTGAAGTCTCATGAGGGCTTCTAGAAATGATACTTACAAACATTAAGCTCATTCTCACAAAAGAGGCACCAATATTGCAAACAAACATTAGGAGAAAACTATTTCAAGTATGCAATTTTTCAACCCTTTCTAAGTAATCTCCCAAAATTTCAAGATCAAGCAAGCAAGTATGGTCCTCCACATATCAATAAAATGATCATGCAAATCAAAACAACTCTAGAATCCTTTTTGAGTGGACCGGTATCAAATATGTTGCTATCTTAGCCAACTAAAGAAATGATCACATCCTTACCCTCAAACTAGCATACAAATCTAATACTGATTATCAAGACAAAAAGTGGACCTTTTATTAAAGCTTCATTCATTTAGGTGCGCTTATTCTTTTCACTCGATATATATATATATATTTTAAGGATCAAAGATGGAAGCATGGTGCAATGTGTTGATCTATTAAGCTTTCTAATGATCCATGAGGTCGAGCATTAGGTCAATGACTGCCAAACCAAACGGCTCTAGGGCATTAGGCGTTCAAACACCCCTACGGACTTACAAGCTCAAATCAATTAGGCTACAAATCAAGACAACCTCCATCTAATCATTTTTCACTTCTCACCATTTGGGAGAAGTCCTCACTTTTTATTGCTTTTTTTTTTTTTTTTTTTTTTTTTTTTTTTTTTTTTTTTTTTTTTTTTTTTTGTAAGCAAGTTCAATTATTAACCTAGAGTTTGGACCCTCCACCTTTCGGCGTGAGAAGTTCAGTGCTTGATGAGGCTAGAATCCCGACTACTTAGTGAAAAGGGTTGTTATCCACCTTTTATCAAGAATGAAAGTTTTCAATGCACTACTAGCCCAATTGGGATATAACCAATTCAATAATCAACAAAGCATGTACCCCACAAATGAATGCTAGTGTGTGCCTATGCTAGTGTAGAATCCCAAAGTGAATCTCAAAACAATCACAAAATCAAGATGATGTGAACCACAAGTGCAAGCAAGATATCAATCTTTCGAAAAATTTACTCCTCAATGGCTTCCACAAGGCATACAAGGAGTATTGGACTCTCAAGTCAAGCAATTTTAAAATTCTAAGCAATATAGTCCTCAAAAGATCAAAATCATAGCTAACATGGATCTCAAATCTCAATCATGCAATTAAAGTTCAACTTAAGTAGAATGCAACAAAGACACCTTACCCCCAAACTTAAACCGCACATTGTCCTCAATGTGCAATGAGAACAATGGAAAAGATGGAAAGAGTATACCGTGGTGGCAAAGACATGAAGCCCAGTAGTGATCCACTTCGAAAGACGTCTCCCTCAAATTTGGAATCAACAACCTACTTGAATAACCACACTAGCAAACTCACATCAAATATCAAATGGGATAAGATAAGTAAACCAAGCATTCTACGACAATATAGCACAAGATGGATGAGAGATATGAAATTAAGCCCTAGTTAAAGCATAAAGTGTGTATGACTACACATAAAGGCATAATGGTGAAAAGTTTTTATATTTTCTTTTTATGAAAGCAACTGTATACAAAATGCAAGAAAAACAAAGAATAAAATGCATGAACAAAATGCAAAAAGAAAATTAAAGAAGATAAAATGCAATGAAAGAATATGTACAATGCAAGAAATGAAAAACAATATGTACAATGCAAGTATATACAAAATTTTCTTACTTTTTGTTTTTCATTTTTTTTTTTTTTTTAATGACATAACAAGTATGTACACACATACAAAAAAAAAAAAAAACCATGCAATAAATGAAAATACAAGGAAATAAGGGATGCAAAAAAAAAAAAAAAATTGTTTATTTATTTATTTAAGAAGGTATGTACAATGAAACAAAATGTAAGAAAAATAAAGAAATAAAAATGTCAATGAACATGAACTATACAAGAGATAAAAGACACAATGTGTCATGTGGGTGTTAAGTTTAACGTGTCTAATAAGACGAAATGCTACTTTGAAAAACCGTCTTCTTCTTTTTTCTTTTTTTTTTTTGAAAAAAAGAAAATGAAAAATAAAATAAAATAAAAATAGAAAAAGGAAAAGGAAAAAGGTCAAAAAGTTAAAGGGGCAAAGCTATGATCGATCTATGCTCGCACGATGGGATAGAGAGTATGAAATTTGCAGTGCTTTGAAAAATTTTCTAAGTATGGAATCTCAAGATTGATCCAATAATGAAGTTGGATCGATCGAAGAACTTTAGATCGATTTAGGAATGTTTTCGATCGATCTGACAAATAGCTGAAATATGCAGGTTGATGCAGGCTCAAAATTTTTCTAAGTGTTGAAACTATAGATCGATCGAACTTGATGTTTGGATCGATTGAAAGTCTTCTGATCGATCTAACTGAGAACTAAAATCTAAGATTTTCTTGGATCGATGAGACAGAGAGTGATTTGGATGCAGGTTTGCTGTAGGAATGAAGTTCGATCAATCAAACTCTCATTTGAGATCGATTGAACTTATGTAAAATGCCCAATTTTCAACATGAAAGTGCAGAAAACCCTATGCTAAGCCCCAATGATGATAACAAAAATAGAGATTGAAAAATGGATAGAAGAATGTACATAAAAACAAAAATAAATAAAAATAAATAATAAAAAGAAATAGGAGAGGAATAGAGTTGAAAACTCTACGAATACTAGTGTTTAACGTCTCTAGCAAGACGCTGGGCCAACTCACTAATCAAAAGAATCAAAAACCGGATATGAAACATCCTTATTGATCCTCTTTTCACTTTTCTCATTTAATGTCCCCCACTTACAACAATGAAATCATCCTCCAAAAGAATGACTTGAAAAGAAATGAAAGAGATGATATTGTTCCTTTCATCCACGGTCTTGAAAACAAAATCAATCATGGTTAGCCTTGCCTCAATTTTGTGCTCTTGAAGTGCATTCAAAGAATCACTTCTTTTGTGAATTGGCAAGTCAATGTCTTTCAAAGACTCATTTGGAATATTAAGGAGTACCTTCTCTTCATCCTTTTTCTCCTCCTCAAAAATCACCATCTCCTCACCTTCCAAGTTAG